AAATCAACAAATTCTGGATTCATGCACATCAGCCCTGAAGATATCATATCATAGAAGCGCAGGGAAAGAAAATAGTTTTTTTTTTGTCTTTGACAGCCAGAAAATAAGTATTTACAAGACTGGAATATTTCCATGTAAAGGTGGCGAAAACAAATGAAATAACATGCGAGAACTGAATGTTTACCGGTGGTTTTCCATATGTCTTCAACATTGACCATGTATAGGTATGGGTATCAAAGACCTTCACTGTGATAGGGAAACAGTACAAAATTGATTGTAATAATTAAGATTCCCGAAAGCTCCTTCAAATAACTGTCTTCGAAGGTATGTATATAAACGCTTACCTTGCATAGATTCTGAGGGATTCTTAGTATGACCACCGATAGACAGCAATTTATTGTCCCACGGTATCTACAAAACAACAAAGAAGGCATGGGAAAATAATATAGCAAGTGGATTTCACCAAGAGACTATTTTCTTAGCTGAACCGCTGTCCTGAATATTTCTAGGCCGGGAAGCCAAAAGGTATAAACCAAAACAAAAGGCAAGAAGTTAAAAACTAACCAAAGAATGACCAGCACAAGGAGATCGTAAGGTTGGAGAGTTTTCCTCTGATTCAGTTGCAACCTTGGTTTCAACTCTTGACCAAGTCCAACTTTTTAAATCTAGAACCTGTATATTAAGCAGAAGACATGCTAAAGAATTGTTACCGGAAGTGGTATCGCCAACTTTAGGCTAAAATGAAAATCAATCCTTCAATTAATCATCAGTTTATGCTTATGAATCATATGAGTTGCTTACATGAAGATCACCAAGGTAACGCCCATTGTGATTTCCACCATATATATACATCTTATCTTGAATAACTGCTGCTCCGTGCTGAAACAATTACAATAAACAAGACTTAGAAATTAGAGATGATACATGAATGACACGACCTTTTACATTTCTTCCAAAAGGGAGAAAATATGTTACCTCATAACGGGCTTTTGGACGCTGACCTGATGTTTGGGGTGCAGTCCACTGGTTATATACAGAAACAGTATTTGGATTTTCCGAGACTACATCTTTGTCTTGGGTTTCTGCCAAACCTCCATTCTCAGCAGAAATTGTCTTTGTCTCGCTAAAAGAGTTCCCATTCTCAACAACAGGCTCATCTTTTGTTGTCTGCTACAGAGAATGAATGCACTAGAAGAGTCAAATACATTTCCTTATGAAGCAAAAACATATGTGTGAAATCTCCCATGTTTTGAACACGGAATCCCATTGAGATACAAAACTCACATTGATTTGGACATCGACGACAGGATCTGGAATATCTTTAGAAGCCCTCGAATACCAGGTAGGATCGTCTTCCTGATTTAAGTGAGCAATTATGAAGAAATCAAGCTTAGACCACCACTCTCCAGTAAAGACTAAAAAATCAGACATAGAGCTCTCTGCCGTTTACCTCCAGAATTTTCACAAAGAGACGCATAGCCTCGATGGAAGGCATACTTCCGAGCCCCTGCCAACTAAATAAAGATGAAAATAACTCAGAACATTAGGAATGTATTCCTAGGAAGGCTCACAAAAACAAAGGTTTATTTTCCTTTTAAAAGATCCTAAGCAGTAACAAGCTCGTCATGCATTTACATAATAACATTATCTGCAACCACTAATTCTAAACATGTCACACAATTTCTGAATCCATACCAAATCTATGCTTGCAAATACAAATCCTACATTTCTATTTTGTATCCTGCAGCTTACATTCAATCTAATATACTTTTTTCCCGTTTCCATGATTTATGAGGCATATGGATGATGAAATCTAAGGCATCTCCTAACTACACCACAAAGCTTCTTCATACTAGTATGATTTACTAAACTCAAGCATAGAAACGCAAGTGTCGGCAGACACCGAATCTAACTAACCTTTTCCACTTGCTCTGCTCCACAGGTCTCCATGCACTAGGTTTCGGAGTGTTGCATGGTCCTACCGTAGCCTGTTTACAATGTTAAATTCAAGAAATCATCAACACTGAGCCTAGTGTGTCTCTACTCACATATCAATGACATTATATTCACATAATAACAAGTTACAGAGCCAATAAAGATCTAAGTAAGCTACGATTGAAGAACGGGAGATCCGTGAGATCTGATTAATAAAAAGCATCACAATCACGTTTTCCATCTCATCGATAATCAAATCATAAGCGACATTTACATCTAGCAACGGATCTAAGTAAGACGATCAAGCTGAGTCATACAAGCGAATTGCGTCATTTCTAAAATCTGATCAAATCTCGACGGGAGTGATACAAATCAACATTTAAACCACCAGATCTCGCGATAATCCACAATCGTGAGCTTAGCAATGGAAGAGATCAGAGATATACAAGTGTCTGACCTGCTGGTACAGCGCGTATAAGAGTAGTGCAGTGTCATTTGAGAATTTCGAGCTGACTTGTTTCGCCGACGAATCAGATCCGTCGAATCCGACGTAAGACGCGGCCGCGTAGAATCTCTCCGGGTAGGCGGGGCCAGATGTTGCTCTAGCCATAGCCATTTGGTTTTCTTCTTCTTCTGACCTTCGACGGAGGATTTGATCGGAGGAGATGGAGAAGGCGAAGAGCAGCAGCGATTTGGTGTGTTTTCTAGTTTTCTGTTTAAAAGATTCAAAGTTTCCTTTATTTTAAAAAAATATTTAATTTTTAATTAAATCGAAAACTATAATTGTTAGATTAGATGCAGTGTTTATATTAGCGGCACTATCAAGACGACATAATCATATTTTCTTACTTTCCTGTTTATTGTCACTTGTTTTGAAGTTATAGAAACTGTTAGGTGGTAACTAGACGTTTTATGGAAGACTAAGGTGTAGACGAATTATTTACGGTCTAGATGGAAATTAGGCATTAACAAATTATTAATTTATTTTATGTTTATATCAGATATTTCAGTTTTAGATTTTAATTAGAAAATTATTTTGACAGATTATTAAAATTAAAGATTAAAAAAATAAAATTAGACAAATTTGTTAAATTTTATAAACTATTATTATATCATTTAACTTATTTATATTACTCTAAATCAATTTAAACCTGTTTTAATCGATTTAAAATCGTTTAAATCGGATTATAAAAAAAATATTTCGTTTAAAGTGAATTTGCCATCTAGATTGATTTTTAGGACCAAGTGTTTTTTTCCTTAATCGCCGACAAACCATGAAAATTCCTTGGTTTAAACGTGGTTTCTACTTCGGTTAATTTTTCTGATTAACCTAAATCCACATTACATCATGGTAAATAATAGTGAGCTCTTTTGAACATGTGTATAAGAAATATAGAAGCCATGAGTTCCCAATGATGATAATGAACAAACAAAATAACCATTGCTTTTTAATGTCTTTTTGCGTTCTTTGGTTTGTCTTCCTTCATATTCAAGAAATGATAACGAATGATTTAGCAATAGTATGAAACTCAGGTCTCAACTCTGACCAAGCTGACTCTGGAGCCTGAGCATTCAGAGTATAAAGCCTGCCACCGTTAACGCAACAAACAGCCACGTTATGTCGCCGGAAAGACGGTGACTCGACTTTGAATTCTAACTCATAGTACTTCAAGTTCCTCTCTGAATCTTGTCTGAGATTTGCTTCCAACAAAGTTCCTTTTAAATCTGTTCTTTGACTAGTTCTTGTCACTGTTTTCACTATCGCTTCTCCTACTTCCTTTGGCCCTCCAAATGCTTCAATTCTATATAACATAAACAATAACCAAAGTTCATAATCACATATTTCTATCATTATTGTTACTATGACCTACTAGTAGTAACAATGAAAGTAAATACTCATGATGATGCTGAAAGTATCTAGTAATTGAATGATGTATATTTACTTACGAGAAAGTGGGTGAGACAGGGGAGACAATAACACTGACATTGAGCTCTCCGGTCGAACCGGGTGGTCCAAATGCAACAACCGGTTCATTGACATTTTTCCGGCGACTGTTTCTTGCCGGAGGAAGGTCTAGTGAAATCTCCCGTTCTGTCTTCTCAGCTGCTCTATACAAGAGTGTTTGGTCCCCAACCCACGTAGCCGGATATATAAACTCTATGATTGTTGTAACATATCATTAAAATATAAACGTTATAAAATTTGATTAGGAGTGAATAAATAAGTGTTATAGAGGACTTTCTAACCGAATCCTTCAACCGTGTCGATACATCTGCTATAACCTCTGATGGGATAAACTATGTCGAGTTTTAAATTCCGACCAAACTCCGGGGATAAACCGAGTACAAAACTCGTGACTCCTCCGAAGTTCGCACCGATGGCTAGCACAGAGGACGAGCCTACACCTAGAAGAAGTCGCCGGTTGAATTTCTCAGCAAGGGGAGAAAACTCCTCGGCCGGCGAAGTTTTCCGGTCATCGGAGGATTGTTGAGCGATGAAAAGGTTGGAGAGTTTAGCATTTTTGGGTGATGATGAGTGAAGAGAGAAGTAAAGTTTCAGAGACATCATTTCTTGTCCGTTCTTTTAAGTGATGTCGTCTCATTGAGTGTTGCAGAGGAATTTCTTATCACTTGTTCAGCTAGTAACTAAACGACATCGTTTTAGCTTCCATGGCGTTTGGAAAAGAGGAAGATGCTTAACCCAAAAAAAATAATAAACAAGGGTAGCTAGAAGAATGTTTAATTTGTTATGTATTTTAGAGCAGGATAGATTCAGTGGCGGATCTATTAAGGGAGAAAATCTATAAAATTTCAAAGATATGCTTAAGAACATTGAGAATTTGATGGCAATTTTGGTAGAAGTTGTCTATTGACACCCCTGTTTAATTCTTGCATTGACACCTCTTATATCATCGGCTGGATCCGCCACTGGATAGATTACTAGTAATAAACACATTATGGTTTGACATTATCATACAAAAATTCTGATCTACTATATTTCATTTCATATATATATAACTATGTGTATGTTGGCAAGTGAAAATCAAACAATTGTATGTAAATAAACATGATAACAATATCTCATTATATACATATTAAGATTCAGTTGTACATATAAATACAATGATATCACAAAAAAAAATATCATGAATAGAGTAGAATCTATAATAAATTCAATCAAACACTAGAAACTTCAAATTTACTGATACGAAGCCTAGTTTAAGGTGCAGAGCAAGTGGTACAAATCAACCTTTATACATAGTATATACTTACTATATCCAATCAATTCTTAAGCACCACCAAACAAGAGTTGGATTTCCTCTAACGTTAATCCTTGAGTCTCTGGCACCAAAAACCACGTGAATACAATTGTCCCTCCACAAACTATCGCTGATATAATAAAAGTTCCTGCAATTTATTTAAACGAAGGTTAATACATTTTAGCCATATTACTTCATTTTTAATATCTAAATCGAAGAAAACCATGTATATAATTTATGTTATAACTTACCGGATGGGCTCCAAACCAACATAAAATTGAAACAATAGTTGGCGATCCAACCAGTGAACCAATTGGCTATGGTCACTAAACTCCCAGCTAAAACCTTTATATCCATTGGAAATATCTGTCAATTAAAAACAAATTAGACATATATAACAATTAAAAATGATGACATGTAATTAATATTATTTGGATAAAATGAGAAATAATCTCCACAAAGGAAAAAAGAATCACCTCAGACATTATAATCCATGGCAACGCCCCCATTCCAAATGCAAACATCATCGTGAATGACTGTAGAATATAAATGGTTATATTTTCTTGTCTTGAACTTTAAATGGTTATATCTTTACATTTTGAAAAATTAACAATAATCAATTTGTGCAAGTTTAATTTGATAGAATACCAATTAGAGGACTTGAAGTTTTCTTTTATAAACTATATGATACAGAGCTCTAACGAAAACTATATGATACAGTTTGATAGAATAAACCAATTATTAATCAGACCAAAAATCGAACTGTGAAGAACTTACCAATATTCCGATGAAAGTGAAAACTGGAGTAATGTTTTGAATCTCGGGAATATCTTTAACTCCAAAAGCTACCGCCAACGTGATAGAGCTTAAGCATAATCCAAATGCTGAAGTCTGCAAATTGAATCCATTAGATTATTAAACCATAAAGATTAATTATATGTTCAAACAAACAAAAATTCAACAAGTTTCTAACCATAAGAAGTGGTCGTCTTCCCCAGCGATCCACGAGGACTAAACCCATTAACGATTTTGGTACCTATGCATGAACGTTGGTAAGATATTAGGGTTATATTGTGAGAATATAAAACCCGAATTAAGATTTATAATTTATACTTACGACGATAAGAGACAACACCGTCATCCCAATCCGAGCAGGAAATCCTGAAAAATAAACGTGTGAATTTATAATATTATCTAACTACAGTGAAAATATGATATAAAATCTAGCTAAGAACATAAATAGATTATAGTTTTACCGCCAAGTTTAAATAGAGCGCTTCCGTAAGAGCCTATTCCTGACATTCCACATAGCTGTTGCAGAAGCATCAAACCTATGCCGATCTAAACATAATTAAACGAATCCAAGCAAAAGTTAATATTAATGTCTTATTGACGTTAATTCAAATCTTTGAAATATATTTATGAATGAATGAGAACAAACTTTCTTACTGTAAGTTGATGAGCATATTTCTTTTGGAAAAGACTACGAATGCTGGTATTCGAATTTTGCTTTGAAACTTCTACTGAAATCTACAAAAGTTTTGAAAAAATGTGAGAATATTTACGTGAAACTAAAAGATACTTGGTGTGGACGAATAATCGATAAAATGATTCTAAAAGTATGTTATATATTTTTTGGTAATGGTTTATATGTATGGATACCTTGATTGCACGAGCTTCAGACACAATGTCGTGTCCTTTCCCTCTTAATTTCTGAAGAACTACTTCAACCTCTTCATAGCGACCTTTTTTAGCCTGTGAAAATATTTTCATTAATATCGTGTGCTTAAGAAGCACATGTTTAAGTTATATTGACTAACCAGCCATCTTGGAGACTCAGGTACGAAAAACAAACCAATAACTTGTATCCCACATGGAATTATACCTGGTTGGAAATAAATGTTAGTTAGATAAATAAATTTATCATGATAAAATAATGAATATGGAAAAAGAAATGAATAAAGGTGCCGACAAATCACCAATTACGGCTAGACTTCTCCATGACAAGTAATTTCCAAAGTAATATGCGATTGCTATCCCACAGTTTTGCAACAACTGAAAAGTATTGATATTGAAATTATAACTCAGATATATATAAAATGATGATATTACCGTCGAGCTTTAGATTTATAGGTCACCTGATTGCTAAATGTAAAAGCACCTCTAATATGCTTGGGTGTTATCTCTGCAATATATACAGGAACCTATAAAATTTTCAAGAAGTTTGAAGTTTATTTAATGGTTAGGGCTAGAGATTATTTTCATCATTTAGAGAATTTATTTTTACCACGTAGCTAATGAGACCAACTCCAATCCCCACAAAAAACCTTCCCAGATCGAGCCAGACAATACTCTGTAGCCAAACAAATAAAGCGGTGATAAATATATAATTTTATTAACCTTGTAAAAGTGAGTAAGAAAGAGTATTAGATGGGTTATGAGGAAACCTTGGCTAGTGCAATTGAAAGCCAACCAGATATGCAGAATAAATCGGCAAGCCACAACGTCTAAATTTTGACAAAAGAAAACAAATGGTATTTAGTATTTACAAAATAAATAAATAAATAAAAAGGGCAATTTTCAGAATAGTAGATACTTACCATTTTATTACCCAAGGCAGATGCAGTTTTGGCGCTGAATATGGCACCGATCATTCCTCCAAACGTCATAAGTGAACCAAACAGTGAAAACTGTACTTTTCAACAGTTCTAGAATATTAGTAAAAGCATTTTTAACGATCGTTTTATATTTTGTCATGTAAGTAGCAATTTTACCAAATATATGTAAATGTTATTTTTAGTTTTTCCTTAAACTCTTTTTACTAGTTAGATATAACTAAACATGTACTCACTTGTGCTAGAGAAAGATCCAAGTCTGTCATAATGGATGACATTGTATCTGCAGTATAACCCCCCTGCGTACCACAAAGTGATTGAAACAATCAAGTTAAGTATATGAATATAATAAAATGAAAACAAACGTGACTCGTTTTATTTGCAAAACCACCACGAGGTAACCTATAGTTTTCGTATGTTGAAAACCTTTTGTCAAACAAATAAATAATAGTTTTCTTATGTTGAATTAGGTAAAAAGTCAATATTTAGGTACGGTTGAGTAATTTTAAATGCATACCCAAAAAATCATAAATTGATGCACACTCTAAAACTGTTAATTTCACACATACAATTCTAACACAAGTTGGTATATAAGCACATATATATATATATATATATATATATATATATATATATATATATATATATATTGTATGACTTAAAATAATTCAATAAATTAAAACTGTGGTTTTGAATTCGTTTTTAGATTTTGGCGGTTATAGTCGATTTAGTAAA